TAACATTATTATTAATTATGATTGCTAATCGTATATGTAATTTATCATATTGATGATGCCTGTAAACTGGCGTCTCTCATGTACAAAATGAGAATATACTATTATTATTATTATTAGTACAAATAACAACGCGGATAATGTCTTGGTGGAATTCCTTCGAAGAATTGCTCGACTTACACCAGTACACCTATAATCCTTCGTAGGTTGACCATTGTAATTTGTGGAATATCCGGACACACACAAGATTAACCAACAATTACAACAATTGGAACTCACACAATTATTTAACACAAACATATGTACAATCAACACAACAAAGTGGTGGATTCTGCCTTGACGAACTACCTTTGAAGAACTGTAGGACTTACAGCAGTACGCCTACAACCCTTCTCAGGTTGACGCCCTAGGTTGGAAAATCGTCGCAGAGTTCATTTGCTGACTTCCTTCCATCAGCTGTATCCTCAAATCTGAACGGTAACACGCTCATGTCATTGTATCATAGAATATAGATGACGAACAAACATACGACGTATCTGGTCAACCAAGCGTAGGTGCAGAGTAATTTACACCAAAGATAATAGCATTCAATTAGTAACTTGAAACTAGGAATGCCTTTATTCGTGCAAGTCAATTTAACAATTACTCTCTCGTTTACACTTGGCTTATCCTCACTAAACTGACCATTGATATTCGTCCTTTCAAACGAACTGATACTGGCATATTCATTGCACAAGACACTTGGGTTGATGGGCGTCTGTTTCATTGTGGATGACAGCACCAACGACGACTGATTGATACCAGCTGAGGAAGCAAGCGGTGGATCAAAAGCTGTTGTTGCTCGACTTTCAGAAAGTTGTCTACCCATAAGACCACCACCACTGCTGTCTTTTACTATCAGCTCAGGTTTAGCACTAGCATCTGATGATATGTGGGCTACATGATGATCAATCACACTGACTGTCTCACAAGTATCCACAACTTCTGCAACTGCTTCTGCATTTATTTCTTCTTCACGTTCAAGTTGTACAGAACCTTCGTTCAACTTAGCAGTAGTAGGCATATCCCTCATTGCATCATGATCAACCAAAGACAAATCTGCACTATCATGATCATTATGACAAATATTCAATTTACCATCATCTATCTGGTCGACTTCATCATTTTCAAACTCTTTAATAACAGAAGTAGACAATTTTGGTACCTCCTCGCAAATCATAAAAGGTTTTATAACTTCACTCTGACTAGTAATACCTTGTAAACTTGTGGAGTCAGAACCGCACTCTGAAGCAATAACTCTATGCTGTGACACTCTATTCAACAATGGCTTACCAGTTGCAACTACAGACTTCTTGACCGCACCGTTATCATCACACAATTCGGAGTCAGACCTGGAGTTTACATTTAGCTTATCACTAAACTTGCTCACTGGTTCACAGTTCACCTTTGTGTGCACATTTTGCAAACGTGCAAAACACAACCATGTTTGTCTTGCATCTTGTAACTTATCTGTTGAGCATGTACCACGAAACCTGTTACACTCACTAGGTCTATATGCATTACTAGATATCATGGGGCCTTCTCGATATCCACCTCTCTGAGGCCTACTCGTCATCAATGATTGCGTTTTACCTCAGACTGCTCTATTCTAGGGGTGAGACTCAATATACTGGCAAACTTGCTCATAGATTGATTGACAATATCGTTTACCAGTTTCAGGATATCATCAAATTTTGGATCGATACCCTCATCCTGCATACGGGAGCTCATCTTCACCCACTTCCTTTGCGGTCGAGTAGGTGGACGTCTTGCTATTACTTCTAGTATAAAACTCGAGTTGAGGTCGCTCATGCAATTCATAGAAACCAAGGTATTCTTATAAGTCATAAGATTATCTAAAAACTCAGTAAGTGCCTTGGGGTCACCTTGAAGTTGACTGCGGTTACCTTTGACAGCTTCGTATACGTTCCTTTCAATCATCGAAGGTCTTCCAAACCTTTGACGTAATATGCTCATAGCCTCATCGTAGCCCTCTTGTGGCTTCATAAACTTACAACACTGTATAGCTCTTGTAGCATCTCCAGTGCATTATCTCAACAAATAGATCAATTTCATTTCATCAGTTAATAAAATACGACTCAACATGATTTCGAATTCCCTTACAAACTGTAAATATTCAGCTGGGTTTCCGTCGAAACACCGTGGTTCAAATTTAGGGAGTTTGATGTTCCTATTATCCCTGAACGGCGAAACAGTAACATCAACCATGTCATGCTTAACATCAGACACAACGATACAATTAACAGACAAGTCACCATGACTTATTTTCCTGTTTGCATCCAAGACACTCTGTCCCTTCTTTGATCCAGGCATTGTTGAACTTGACCCAATTCCTAAAATGTTCCAGATATTGCTTGTTCAAAGAGGACTTGACCGGCACCAGGAAAGATGAACGGTGACTATCCAAACTTTCGCCAACTGTCTGAATTCGCGAGATCTGTTTCTACCGTTAGAAACTGTCAGCCACGTGTCATAATCCGTTAATACCCAGCTCTTGCTACGCTCGGGCTCACGCTGTTCCTTGAAGTTTTTCAGAAACGCTTAGTAATAACGGACGCAGAAACCAAAGAACTGATTGGCCGCTCGAGAATTCTTTATTGTAACATCAACATATAAAAAATAATCCCACTAAGGTTTCTGACGGTTTTATACTGACTTCTTTCTGAACAGCGACCGATGAGACGATGACTGTCGTATTGATGCCTCCGGGAAAATATTGGGAAGTTATGTTTGAGGAAACAACCATGAATTGATCGTTCAATCTTCACCTACATTGACAGATCGCATTATCTTCCATAGACATCAGCCGTCCATTTCCTGGTAGTGAGCACAACACAATAATCTACGCCCTCGATAACAACCTCCACTCATCAAAATGCTACACTCTGCGCAATACATTCATGTGCTTCGGAAATGCTAGGTGGGACGTATCTAACTCCTTCATTAGAAGCTTAGACTGGGACCTCTTCCTTTCTAAAGTAACCTAGACAATATCCTACTACCCTTTTACCAGAATGTATCTATCTGCTTTGATAAACTTGTTCCTAAATGTAAAGAGAACCCAAGAGTAAACATAAAGAATTTCATTCCAATAAAAGTAAAGACTAAGCTGCGAAAGCTGTACCGACAGTACCACAGAGAAAACGACTTCTAATGTTTTTTTTGATGTGGTTTTGTTCTCTGAGCTGGATAGTTAGTTTGCGAAGCTTTCATCACCAATCATCATCAATCATCAATTTGAAGTATGCGCTGAAGATGTCACCCAGTAAGGTGATGAAAGCTTCGCAAAACTAACTATCCAGCTCAGAGAACAAAACCACATCAAAATTATCCACCTGAGCTACAAGACTTCTCATGTCTTGTAAATATACAGAACATTTATCTCAAATTGAAAGAAAATAACGACAAAGTCCTACTCAGAAAAGAAAATGCAGCTCCTAAAGATAGCTCTAGATATACTGCAATCTGTAGGCCTTGTCGCAAAAGGCTAAGCTCCCGTAAAACGGATATACAATTCACTTTAGAAAATGGTGAAACTCCTAGTGACCCTAAAATAATTTGTCAGCTGCTAAACTCCTACTTCTCACAGTCATATACCTATGATGATAATACGTGCCCACAACCTCTATTCCCTGTACGTTCACAAAAACCTTAGAAATTATCAGGTTTTCGTTAGATAATATTAAGAAAGCAATCACCTCTTTTAAAAGTTCAAACAACCCAGGTCCTGATATGATTCCCTCAACTTTTTTTTAAATACGGTGGTGAGGACATTCCTATTCTCCTCCTTAAATTGTTCTCCACTTCTCTATCAACGGGAACATATCCAGATACATGGAAAACCACGCACATTACCCTTAGGTATAAGTCAGGCTTCCGTTCAAGTGTCATGAGTTACAGACCCATTAACCTAACTACTGTTATTTCAAGGGTTCTGGAAAAGATCGTGAAAAGTGCCATTTTTAACTTCCCCTCTTAAGAGAAACTTATCACTCCTTATCAACACGGTTTCATGAAGTCACGTTCTTGCACGACATGCCACTTACAATTTTTCTACCATATCTCACAACTTAAAGATTCCAGCATGATCACGGTTATTGTATACTTAGATCTCAGTAAAGCCTTTGACACTGTAAGCCACCGACTGTTAATATAAAAAATCCAGTCTTATGGGATCCAAGGTTCATTGTTAAGCTGGCTCAGTTCGTTTCCAAACAACGCGTTCAAATGGTCAGGTTACCTTCCCACACATCCAACCCTATTCAGATAACAAGTGGAGTTATACAAGATAGTGTCCTAGGTCAAAAAGTTATTCCTGTTATATTTCAATGACATTTGCGACGTTATTAAACATGACAGACCTTTCCTATTTGCTGATGATATCAAAACAATACATCACGTGTAATTGGTAGGATTCAGGATGATATTGATAGCGTCCAATTATGGTGTAACACGTGGAAAATGAAGTTTAACGTTGAAAAATGTGGTGTGCTACGCTCCAAAAAGCATTTCATCCGAACTTTCCATCTCCCTAAACAACAATCATATTCCTCGTCTGCGACTTACAACAGATTTGGGTCTAAAACACACTCCAGAATTTAGCCTGATGGAATATGTTAAATTAGAAGTATTAAAGGCCAAAATAATATAATATGTAATATTATATAATCTTTTATTTCTGGACCAGAAACCAGCCATTTTACAGGCATGAACATATGTACACTAATTAGAACTTATAGAATACATAACATGATTTGTTAATCTAGAAATAAATTGAATACTGGTTAATGTGAGAGAAACATTTAAAACGAAATATACAAATAAGGGAAATAGATAATTTTTGAGATATCGTTTCGACCGAATAAGTCACAAATAAGATATAGCGTCAAATCTAAACTGTCATTGAAAAAAATATGGTATGCCAATTTCACGCGGGAATTGTTAATGATTTTAAGTGACCCTCAAGGCGCGCCCCTTGAATAAGACGTGCTTTTTCCTCGCTAACCGGGAATATCCAATTTTGTGAATTATTCGTTTTGGGAAACCTGATCTTCCTACCCGGCGAATTTCATTCAACCATTTCTTCCTCACCGAGCCTGTGTGTGGTACTTCCCGTTGTCTCGAACCACTACCAAAGCTTCAGGTGCTACTTCTGTAGCAACATCTTCCTCACTCTTTCAAATATACAGGACTTGTGGGTCTGTTACGTGATTGCTGTGAAGCTGAATAACCCGAAAGTTACAGGTAAAGTCAAAAGCTTTTACTTAAATACTTTATCCTCTTCTGTGCTCTCTATTGTCTTTTGCTGTAAGTCTATTGGACAAAATAACAGTCTCTTATTATTTAATCACCAGTATTAATTTAGGAGTAAAATGACAATAGATTCTCACCCTAAAATAAATAATGGGACATCATACTCTGTAGTCACCAGGGCTTCAGCCAAACTGGGCAAACAGGTGAAGCTGATGGACTCACGCATACCGGCCTTGAAGACCAGGGCACATATTCCCTGCTCGTACAGATTACCCATGTCGCCACAGTCCTACAGTGAAGCTGTGCAAAGTCAGCCAAGTGGATGTGGCTCCACCCCTGTTAACACGACTAGGTTAACAGAGCCGAGTGGGAAAATTGCACTAAGTGAGAACTGCATAACACCCATCCCCATGGTAGACCATGAAACAAATAGGAAGGCCAAAAAGAAACGTTCACGACGTCGCAAGACGACAAGAACGCTCCCCAAGAAGGCAGACGACTGCAAGGTCTGCGCTTCTGTTGTCGAACAAGCAGACTCTGCTTTCGAATGTAACTTTTGCAAGCGATGGGTGCATTGCAGATGCGACATTGGGGTACCAAAAGCATATTATGACTTTATGCGTAAAAACCCATGCCAATGGTTCTGGTACATATGCCCGAGTTGCCGTCCTGATGTAGCCTCGAGTAGTCCTCTGAAAACTAAAGTTGGCGCAAAAGTAGCAGGGAAAAATGTGAAATGTTCGACCCCCACCAATCCGGAAATTAGTACAAACGCACGTAAACCGGGGATACCAAAATCCTCACCGGTTAAACTTGTAACTCTTGACATAACCGCTCCAGACACAGAGGCTGAAGCACCACGGGTTTCCGTCGTTGGAAAAAGACCCCTATCGTCTGCCAGTAATACTGGCCATAGCACTGAGACACACAAAAATACCCAGTCGCACCAGACGAACCAAAACGGTCTTAAAGGGATCACAAATATGCGAGGACCGAGCCCAAGCCCACGGTTAGTAGATCAAATTGTGTAATCCTCTTTAATGTACCAGACTGTAGTAGTAGTCTGCTGAAAGATAGGGCCCTATTTGATCAGGAACAGTGGTCCATCTTGTGTAGCACACTGGGTTTGGACATCCAACCAGTAAATCTATGCAGATTGTATAGGGGCACTGCTGCACCTGAAGGCAAACCATCCCCACTGAGGGTAACATTGGGCTCTACCGAGGATGTTGAAAAAGTGTTACTGGCTTCTCAAGTCCTTTCTATAGGGAGGGCCTGTAACATACGTGTTAAGCCAGACAGGCCGTGGAAGGAAAGACAAATGGCGAGGGAGTCGCCAGAGCTCATTCCTTCTGCCTCCATGGTTGTGCATGGCATTCCCGAACTGGTAACTGGGAACGCCTGCGAAAAGCATTGTCATGATGTACAACAATGGAGATGGTTGGCATCCCAGATGGCCCTGGGGAGTTCAGGGGCTGTCTCTATTTATAGACTGCCTCGACCCACTCATCTTATGTCAATTAACACGCCACGTCTGTTAGCTGTCAAGTTCAGCTCCCAAGACCAGTTGACTACCGCTCTCCATAGATGGTACGAGACCAAGGACAAGGTCAGCAAACACATTCGCTGCTGCGAGAGCCGGCCTCGCACCCAAAGGAGAGAACAAAGCGTAGTTAAAAAAATCCTCAACCCCTAGTCACACTACAGCGGTGCAGCACGGACGATGATAGCCAGTGTCATCCGAGTGCTCCGACTGAACTAGAAGAAAAAAACGCCAACAGGCCGGTTCCTGGGGAATCGGCCAACTAGTTCGTAGGATAACTCCTCAACCGATAGCCAATATCAAGTCAACTACCCCCCAATACGGGGAAGTGGTGAGACTGACTACCAGTTGCCTGTACAGTAATGTGAGAGGGCTAAGAGGCAAAATAGCTGAACTTAGACACCTACAATCACAACTGAACTCCAAAATCATAATACTGACGGAAACCTGGCTAACCCCTACGGTGGCAGACAGCGAAGTCAGTATAAATGATATGGTCCTAGTCAGGCGAGATAGGGACCTGAAAGAAGGAGGTGGAGTCGCCATATACGTCGACAAACAGCTCAGATGTGTTCACGCGATGGACCCTCCCCTCACAGAGCTCCCTGACTCCATATGGTGCCACTTCACCGTTGGGTACTGCAAATATCTAGTGGGCAGCATTTATCGATCACCTTCATGTGGAGCAGACCACAACCAGGTACTGCTAAATACAATCTCAGCAACTAAAGACATGGGTTATGATCAAATTGTCATGTGAATGGAAACGAGCAATCCTATCCCCTATCTTCAAGGGTGGTGACCGGCAGAATGCGACCAGTTACAGACCAGTTGCTCTACTTCCAGTGATATCGAAAATATTGGAGAGTCTCATTGACGACCACATGAGAAAATACTTCGATGGGACTAACCTTCTTCACGAAGCACCGCACGGTTTCAGGAGGGGAAGATCCTGCGTGACGAATCTTCTACTAGCTTGGAACGATTGGACACTATCCTGGGACGAAAAGGTACCAGCCCACGTGATCTTTCTCGACTTTGCGAAAGCATTCGACACAGTTCACCATGGTCTGCTCCTTCACAAAATAAGCAAGGCGGGTGTTTCTGGAGCACTTCTCGCATGGCTGAAAGATTACTTAGGCGAGAGATAATTCTGCAGCAAAGTCAACCGCATCCGATCATCCTGGCACACCTCGGCATCAGGGGTTCCTCAGGGTTCTATCCTAGGGCCGTTGATGTTTTTGATTTTTATCAACGACCTGACCTCCCAACCGCTTCTTTACGCTGATGACGTAAAGATTTGGAGAGCAATAAACTCATCGGAAGACTCAGACAGATTGCAGGTTGACCTGCAAACTCTGGGAAACTGGGCTCTGGCTAACGGAATGCCTTTCAACCTAAAGAAGTGCAAAGTAGTGCAACTTCACTCCGGCAGGTCACAGAGTGTAAATTACACCCTTGGTGGCCAGAACTTGAGTTGTGTTCCATCAGAGCGCGATCTAGGTCTTATTCTAACAGAAAAGCTGGACACCAGTGGAAATTACGCGAGGGACGTCGCCAAAGCCTACGCAACTTTACACTTTATGCATAGGCAGCTGGGAGCTCTTACTCCCGAACTGTTCTTAAGGTTATATAAAACATATGTGAGGCCACACCTTGAGGTGCATAATATCATTGCACCTCCGCTACTCAAAAGGGATGCTAACATTCTAGAAAGTGTCCAAAGACGAGCGACTAAATGGGTGATCGGCCTCCGCAACAAATCATATGAGGAACGACTAAAGAAATTAGGTCTTTTCGCATTTAGTTACCGTAGGCACAGGGTAAACCTCATCACCGTCTACCAGATCTTAAATGACCAGGCCCACCCAAATAAAAGCATCCTGCCATTAAGTGATTATAGGCTTCCACGAAGTAACCCGCTAAGGATAGCACACCAGAGACCAAAGACTCGAGTGCGATCACATTTCTTTTCGTTTCATGTTTGCCGTCTCTGGAACGCTTTACCAGCGGCCGTGACTACAGCGCCATCTCTGGAGATTTTTAAGCGGAAGCTAGACAATCATGCAGAAATGCAAGGTTTGTGTCTCAATGGCTTATCCTCATAAAACTTGAAACCACACTGTCAGTGGATGAGCGTACAAACTAAATCCCCAGGACCTGTTCTGCCTTCTCTCACACTATCTTTTCCTTAGGTCACCTTTATTATTCCACTTATTTAAAATTTCCTTAAATTTAAAATTTAAGGCTGATTAAGAATAGGTGACTAGGGTTGTGAAAACAATCATAGTGAAAGTAGAGTCAAACATAGAGTTCACAGATTTCCGGAGCTAACAGTGAGGGTCAGAGGAGTGCCGTATTAGATCTCTAATTTTTAGTTTTTCACATACGCCTTCTAACCCACTGGTGGTAAAATATTTGTTCAGCAGAGATGAGAAAGTTTTTGGGGTAGAACTGTTTCTAATTTCAGTTGGAAGACGGTTCCAAATACAACGGTATCTCACAGTGAAAGAATTTGATCTGTATTTTGTACGACAGCGGGGCACTTTAAAAGATGAAGATTTATTTCTGAGGTTATATTTCTTAGATGAACTAAAAGTAAAGTCATTGTGGGGGAAATATATAAGCCCTTTAGCAATCCTAAATGTGATTTTTAGGTTGAACTTCAGTCGTCTAACACATAAGGGTTCCAAGTCGAATATGTTACACCTGTCGTAGTAAGAAATGCAAAGATTTTCACCTACTAGACGTTTAGTAAACGCCCTTTGTAGACTTTCTAATTTGCATATGTCTTTTACGGAGACACTGTCCATGATAGGGGACAAAATTCAAGTAAGGGCAAAGAGCCTTAAGGTCAAAAGGCTATTTGGAATTTTACTCCGAAACTTTAAGATTAGTGAATCCAAAATTATGCTGCACAAGTTGTGCATAAGGCGCCTACTTGAATTTTGTCCCTTATCATGGACAGTGTCTCCGTAAAAGACATATGCAAATTAGAAAGTCTACAAAGGGCGTTTACTAAACGTCTAGTAGGTGAAAATCTTTGCATTTCTTACTACGACAGGTGTAACATATTCGACTTGGAACCCTTATGTGTTAGACGACTGAAGTTCAACCTAAAAATCACATTTAGGATTGCTAAAGGGCTTATATATTTCCCCCACAATGACTTTACTTTTAGTTCATCTAAGAAATATAACCTCAGAAATAAATCTTCATCTTTTAAAGTGCCCCGCTGTCGTACAAAATACAGATCAAATTCTTTCACTGTGAGATACCGTTGTATTTGGAACCGTCTTCCAACTGAAATTAGAAACAGTTCTACCCCAAAAACTTTCTCATCTCTGCTGAACAAATATTTTACCACCAGTGGGTTAGAAGGCGTATGTGAAAAACTAAAAATTAGAGATCTAATACGGCACTCCTCTGACCCTCACTGTTAGCTCCGGAAATCTGTGAACTCTATGTTTGACTCTACTTTCACTATGATTGTTTTCACAACCCTAGTCACCTATTCTTAATCAGCCTTAAATTTTAAATTTAAGGAAATTTTAAATAAGTGGAATAATAAAGGTGACCTAAGGAAAAGATAGTGTGAGAGAAGGCAGAACAGGTCCTGGGGATTTAGTTTGTACGCTCATCCATTGACAGTGTGGTTTCAAGTTTTATGAGGATAAGCCATTGAGACACAAACCTTGCATTTCTGCATGATTGTCTAGCTTCCGCTTAAAAATCTCCAGAGATGGCGCTGTAGTCACGGCCGCTGGTAAAGCGTTCCAGAGACGGCAAACATGAAACGAAAAGAAATGTGATCGCACTCGAGTCTTTGGTCTCTGGTGTGCTATCCTTAGCGGGTTACTTCGTGGAAGCCTATAATCACTTAATGGCAGGATGCTTTTATTTGGGTGGGCCTGGTCATTTAAGATCTGGTAGACGGTGATGAGGTTTACCCTGTGCCTACGGTAACTAAATGCGAAAAGACCTAATTTCTTTAGTCGTTCCTCATATGATTTGTTGCGGAGGCCGATCACCCATTTAGTCGCTCGTCTTTGGACACTTTCTAGAATGTTAGCATCCCTTTTGAGTAGCGGAGGTGCAATGATATTATGCACCTCAAGGTGTGGCCTCACATATGTTTTATATAACCTTAAGAACAGTTCGGGAGTAAGAGCTCCCAGCTGCCTATGCATAAAGTGTAAAGTTGCGTAGGCTTTGGCGACGTCCCTCGCGTAATTTCCACTGGTGTCCAGCTTTTCTGTTAGAATAAGACCTAGATCGCGCTCTGATGGAACACAACTCAAGTTCTGGCCACCAAGGGTGTAATTTACACTCTGTGACCTGCCGGAGTGAAGTTGCACTACTTTGCACTTCTTTAGGTTGAAAGGCATTCCGTTAGCCAGAGCCCAGTTTCCCAGAGTTTGCAGGTCAACCTGCAATCTGTCTGAGTCTTCCGATGAGTTTATTGCTCTCCAAATCTTTACGTCATCAGCGTAAAGAAGCGGTTGGGAGGTCAGGTCGTTGATAAAAATCAAAAACATCAACGGCCCTAGGATAGAACCCTGAGGAACCCCTGATGCCGAGGTGTGCCAGGATGATCGGATGCGGTTGACTTTGCTGCAGAATTATCTCTCGCCTAAGTAATCTTTCAGCCATGCGAGAAGTGCTCCAGAAACACCCGCCTTGCTTATTTTGTGAAGGAGCAGACCATGGTGAACTGTGTCGAATGCTTTCGCAAAGTCGAGAAAGATCACGTGGGCTGGTACCTTTTCGTCCCAGGATAGTGTCCAATCGTTCCAAGCTAGTAGAAGATTCGTCACGCAGGATCTTCCCCTCCTGAAACCGTGCGGTGCTTCGTGAAGAAGGTTAGTCCCATCGAAGTATTTTCTCATGTGGTCGTCAATGAGACTCTCCAATATTTTCGATATCACTGGAAGTAGAGCAACTGGTCTGTAACTGGTCGCATTCTGCCGGTCACCACCCTTGAAGATAGGGGATAGGATTGCTCGTTTCCATTCACATGACAATTTGATCATAACCCATGTCTTTAGTTGCTGAGATTGTATTTAGCAGTACCTGGTTGTGGTCTGCTCCACATGAAGGTGATCGATAAATGCTGCCCACTAGATATTTGCAGTACCCAACGGTGAAGTGGCACCATATGGAGTCAGGGAGCTCTGTGAGGGGAGGGTCCATCGCGTGAACACATCTGAGCTGTTTGT